GATTTCTGCATGTGCCAGATACCTGGCTGATCTTTGATCTGGACTCTAGTTCTTAATGGAATTCTGAGTTGTGCAGCACGTTTTTTTTTTAGAAAATGTTTCATTTGAAGCTTGATACTAACCTTGCCACTGAATGAAGATGGAATCAGTATTGAATTCCAGAAGAATGAACCTTTCAACAACATTTCCAGTGCAAAGTGACGCATGGACACTAGAGTATGTCCATAATTTTTGAACTCTTAAGGTGTTGAAAAGTGATAAAGAGTGGCGATTTATTTTATTTATCTTGTGTCAGCTAAATAACTGAGGCTTCAAGAGCAATCTACATCAGTGTAATGTGAACAGGCAGATTCATTAAAATGTTCGTTGAACTATCTCAAGAAGGGTGGGTGTTCTGAGTTTAGTGCACACCGCAGATTTTATCAAACTTTGACTATAATATGCTATCTTGTCACTCACTCACCATGAGGTATTAACCAACAAACTTTAAGAATAATAACTCTGGACTGACTGATGGTATAAGACACCCACGGTATACTGGATGTTAAATTGCAAGACCTAACTCTTAGTTGTAGTAATGTTTAAAGATATGTTACCAAATTCAATTTTCTCCCTATTGATTTAATAGAGTTTTGAATGCTGTGTACCATGGTACTTGGTTACGTACATGAGATTTGTATACAATGCTGCTGTTTTAACGTGGCTCAGTGAAACTGCCTCTACTCATTAAGTCCCGATAGTGTGCTTGCATGCCCTGTTCCGTATTAGTTGGATATATGGCAGAGAATATACCTTAAATATCCATCAAAAGTGTAAAGAGGCACATTTTGTTGGTGGACCTCTGGGGTTATCGATAGTTTTGAATAGCACTATTCCTGTTTGTTTGTTTGTTAAATACAAGCCATGGAGGAGGTAGCCCCAGTTTCTGCAATCCATCATAGAAAAAGAGAAGTCTTTATCTCCCTGTTTATTTTGAGATAAAGTTAATTACTAATGATCGACATCCATTTTTGGTGACTTGCCGTGAGGTCTGTTTCACTTTGCAAGAGTCATTTTGGTTCTGAGATCAACGTTTTCTGGATTAGTATTAACTAATGTTGCATGACATTTCTGCATTTGGAAAAAAGATTTGGGAACTTCTATTCCATTCTAGCTAAACTGTGCTGTTGAGAGCTGAGGATTTTTGGTGTTGTGCTTGCAATAGAATAACTAACATCTTTCCCACCCCCCCGCGGTGCCCTGTTCTACTGAAATTGTCAGTGAAATAAATGAAAATCTCACCTTCCCTTTGCGTTTACTTTAGTCGCTTTACCTTTGTTCTTCTCCTTTTGAGCCTGTGCTTCTGTCGCTGTCTGCGTGCACAATTCCTGAGCTGCTTGAATGAAATAATAAGCTTGTGCTTGCTTTCATACTTGATTTTTTGTTTTGGTCTCAATTCCTTTTTTATTAGTGATTAATATCAACCACAGGAAGTCATTGTTCCTACCTTACAACAACAATTTGTATTTATATAGTACCCTTCACCGTGGGTGGCACTCTGAGATCACTGAACCTTAGATTGTGCAATATATAATGAAGGTTAACAAGTTTGATCTCCCTGTTACTTTTCACCAGCACATCTGTGAAAGGGCTTGAGTGCCTGTTGGGGTGTGGAGGGAGGAAAATTAAACTCTGGTGTCAAGAGTCAGGAATCAGATTTGGGGCTTGTTTTCATGCTGTATATGAGGTTTGGGCATTTTTATGTTGTAACTGAGGATAATCAAAGGAGAGAAACATGGATATCTGTGGTTCACACAGCTTCAGATACAACAACAGCTTGCATTTATATAGAGCCTTTCATGCGGGTAGTGTCTTGGAGCACTTAACAGAAATGAATCTGAAGAAAGGCAGATTGAGCGAGTCAATCAATCTGTGGTGGAGGTGGGGGGAGGGGAGATGAGACGGATAGATGGGGGATCTCCCATGGGGGAGGTTGACGGAGGGATGTCTGTGAAGCACTCTTGTGGAAATCCCAACATATGGTAACGCTGCGGCAAAAAAAAGGCCTGGAATGTCTCATTCAACTCCCCCCTTCCCCCTCCGGCGTCCTTGACGGGGGGCAGGAACCATCACAATGAGGAAAAGGACTATTTTCGAGTCGCAAATAACAAGTCTCGTCAGCCTTTCTAAACATGCACATGAATTGTTTTGTAGCCTTGACCTCTTGCGTTTGTTGTAATGTACAGTCATCATAATATTTTTGTCCTTTTCTTTTCCAAAGGGTGTCTTGCTATTCCTGGTACTGTATGGGTTGGTTTGGTCCCTGGTGTGGATGCTGTGCCAGCAGTGTTGTGAGTGTCTGATATTGTGCTGCCATGTCTTAACTTTGTTTTCCTGGATAAATCGAGGACCTGCTTTGTGTATAAAATCATCTACAGGTTAAGGGATTTGTAGAGTGCTAGGGCACTGGCACCAGAGAAGTCAGATTATAATAACTTGAGCACAATATTTAAATCAGTCATGAATGTTAAACTATGATCAGACTCTAATGTCTGTTATAGCACTGGCTCTTTGTCTAGCCGCTGTTTGTAAGGGAGCCTTGCGAGCTGGCAACATTTGCCAATAAATACCGTCACCACACAATTATCTATGAAGTTCTTTCACTCGGTGAGGCCCTTTGGGCATTGTAGGTGCTGTTAAAATGGAAAGATTATCGTGCTTATACTGTGAAATGACATTTATATCTCCACATAGCTTTTCCCCTAAGCTAAATTGGCGTGGGCGATCTGCAGATGTGAACATAGTGAAAAAGCTCCGCTTACCACTGCTCAAATGCTAGTTAGTTTTTAATGTTTGTTGCTGGCTGACTGATGGGTTTTTAGAAATATTAACAAATCTTAAGGCAGCTCCCCACTGGTCTTGTGGGTAAATGCACTGCCCTGGGCAGGACTGCGTCACGCATACTAGAAAGTCATGGTCGCTCAACTGCTGGCCTGTGTTGACTGACGTGGAGTCCGTAGCTCAGTAGTTAGAGCTCTTCAATTGCAATGAGAGGACCTGGTTTTGATTCCTGGCAGGGCAAAATGTTGGGCACGTTTCCTTACTCTCCACGCCTCTGTTTACCTAGAGGTAAGTAGGAAGCCAATTGGCCAATTAGCCAATTGGCGGATCGGTTTTCCGGGGGTAATAATTCCTTCAAAAACAAAAAAAAATTGGTCACTCAATCCACGGCCGTTTCTGGGACACTGTTGTGCGCAATTGGCTGCCGTGTTTCGCCCACAAAATATACAGTCAAGTCACTTTACAGTCAGAAGACGGTCAGGTGGGTGCTTCCTCTGGTCAAATAACCTGCCAACACTCGCTGTCAGAGATCGCACACGGCTGACACACTGGCCATACGGACCTGGAAGATCCCAGTTGATTCTCCACATTGAGTTTGTTAAGATCAGATAGGGTGACAGTTGGGCATTGCAGTTGGCTTTGGTTCCTTGGAGAAACTAAGAGAAATGTGAGGGCTGAGGAGAGGAGGAAATAATCGAGGGAAAAATAAAGTGTTCTGTTTGTTTTGTGTTGGCTACAAATCCGCAGAATGTGAGATTGCTTTCTTGAGGGAGCCAGGAGTGAGCTCCCAGAACTGCAGTGTGTCCCTCTTCAGTGTTAACTCAACGTTATCCGTCCTACAAATACTCCCCTTGATTCTTCTGGAGTTATTTTAATATTTATAGATTGTAACAATGAAGAAATCTGTTTGTTGGCAGTGATTGATTGGAGGAGGCAGGAGTCAGCAGTAACATTTAGCTGGAGAGCTGGGAGGGAGGAGGGGCAATTGGCTGGGATGGCATTCTGACGTGCATTAAGTGTCAAATGGCTCACGCTGGGGGAATTAAACGTTTACATTTCCAGCTTGAAGAATTATTAGCTGTCTTGATTTGTATTGGAGTGTAATTTTACAACTCCAGGACCTTGGTGGTTTCATCAAGTATTTAGGGTTTCTTGAAATCCTTTTTTNGAAGGCTTTCCTCCAAAGACCTTTATTACTGTTCCATTTTAAAGTTTGCAGGCTGGTTAATCTGCAGAGTTGCTCTTGCCTGCCATTTCTTCGGTTTCACGTCTACAACTTAATTCTCGGGTGGAAATGCTTGGCTCTGCAGTGTGTGTGTTCTGTGTGTCCTTCAATCCTGAGTACTGGGAAGCGAATGAAGTGATCGAGGGTATACAAGACCATATCCGTATGGATGAACTGAAGGTGCAATTAAACATCGCCAGCGGTGGGTGGGGGGAAACTAAGTAATAAATAATGCAACTCCTTGCAAGACACTTCCCAACTCCATCGAATTACACAAAATTTCACTGATGCATGGAGATAGAAACTGAGCAAACAAGATCTTGTTTGAATGCACAAAAAAATGCATTACTTGATTTTCGTTTGAAGGGGTTGGTATCAACAGTCAGTAGTCGAGGTGTTTTCACTTTGTGTTTTTGTTTCATTATTATTAAATCAGGGTCTGGACCTTTGCACATTTCTCCTGGACTGAAGTTCTGCCAAAAATGAGGCCTCAGGAAGTGGGAGTGTATTTGGCTTGAGAGAGGAGGTGGGGTAGGGGTGGGGGGGTGGGAGTATGCTGATTTAAAATAATAAACAGCAGCTGGAATAGAAGATTACTACAGACTGTCAGGGCGTTGGTTGAATGAGAGATCAGAGTTCCTAACCAGTGGAGGCACTGAAAGTAACCTGCAGTGGGAGGGAAAACGAGCTGAGGAGAGCTAATGGGTCACAGCTCTCTGAACCCTCAGCTTTCCCTCTTCCCTCAGGCTAGAGACAAAAAATAAATCTTAAACCTCGGAAACCAAGCTCGATCATTGGTGTATCAACACGTGCCTGCTTGCAACTGAGGAGCTCTTGTCCAATGCCTTGATACTGCCCTTTGAGTATCCCTTGGCTTTTGTCTGATCGATTCCTGCTGAGGCCTGCTTTTTGCTTTTGGACAGCAATTCCTTCAGCCTTCATCCCATGCAGCCACTTGTCAAACTCTTTTTCTCTGGCTCGCAAGCTGCCAACTTATAGTTACAATCGAGAGAATCAACCCTTTGATCAAGAGTGGCGTGTGTGAGCATAGAAGAAGCAGCATCTGGGCTGTGGCAACAGATCACCAGAGCGGTGGGGCATTAAAACAGAGTTTTTAAACTAAATATTAAGGAGGGGGAAAGGGAATACAAGACCCGAAAGGATGAATGCACTAAGGAAGCTGGCTGAGAACTGTAGAAGATTTCTCAGCATCTTGGATCGGGGTATCTTTGGAAAAGTTCTCTTGCATTGATGACGTTGGGAAGCTGCTAATATGTAAACTGGGACTGGATGGATTTGGTGTGTAAGAAAAGGCTTCGGACAGGCTAAAGCAGGAGGTTAATAGTCTGTTTGCAGATGTAAAACTGCAAAATAAGCAGCAGTAAATGGACCACCTTTTACAGGAAGATGTAGGCTGTGTCAAGGTGAGATGCAACGATGATTGGCCTGAACTTCAGCTTGCAGGAGTGGCTAAGACAATTTGAACAGGTATAGTCAAAGAAGTATTTTGCCTGATAGCTTCATTTATATACACCAAAAATGTGTACATTTCTGTTTGTATGTCTGTGTCTGTGTGAATTTGAGTGTGAGAGTGTATTGACATTTTGTATGAAATCACTAAGTAAATTTTGGTGTTGGAGCAATTGAGAACATTGGTGGGGGAATGGAGATTAAACCTGGAGTGTGTTAGTTGGAATGTTTACTTTGGCTGTGAGAACTGCTTACATCTTATCCCTGCTGTGCTTTAAAGATACCTCATGTTTTCCAATGCAAGCTCTGTAGGAAAGTGAAAGTTATTCAAAAAAAACACTTTTAGCCACTGTTAATAGAAAACATAGCAGTGAGATGGCGAACATTATGTTTTTTTACCAAAAAAGTGAACATCTTTATTAAACCATTCTGTATTAACAATAATAATCATTGCATTTGTTATAGCATGTTTTTATGCCAAGAGAATGTCTCAAGGCGATTCACAGGATTTCCTGTAAAGTGTGTATTTTGTTGATAGCTCATTATGTGCACAGCAATATCCCACAAATAGCCATGAAATGAATGCCCAATTTTGACTAAGGAATAGATTCTCCATGAAAACTTCCACCACTTTTGTCTCTTGCCCATGAATAAAGTTCTTTACAAAGAGACACCAGTGACCAATTTTGGTGGTAAATTTGAAACCTTCTTAGCTCTGTTGCCCTCACAACAACAGCTTGCATTTATATAGCACCCTTTAGTAGGATAACATCGTGGAATGCTTCACAGTGACAGACTTGGATGCAAAGGGGGGGAGGAGGGCAATCATAGGTGTACAGTTTTACTCAGTTTTACTACAATTAGAATCAAATAAATGCTTTAAACTAATAACAAGATGGTGAGGTACAAAGTTTGCTCGCACACTTACACTGAGGGATGTAAAGATGCACAAGCCCGATAGGGGAAGGCTGCTCGAGTAATAGCTGCACAGCAACAGCAGGAATAGCAGTTTTTATATCAGTTCTGTCAATATTTTTGGTTTGATTATTATTGCACCTACTCCATGAATTATTCAGAATGTCTGCGTTTTAGCCTGAAGAGGTTGTAATTGCATTTACTGACGTGCCGCTGTGGTTTAATTGTTCCCTTGTCAGTTTCCTAAACGCAACCCTGAGAGTGTAGGTTCACAGTCGCCTGTGCGGTCAATACCCCTTTTCTGCAACAACCACTAAAGTGTTTTCATCATCTGAGTTTTTAAAAATTGGAATTATTAAAGTCAGATGATTTGTCTTGTTTACTAAAGATTTTAGTGTGTGTGTGTGAGTGAATGAGTGTCTTGGGGAGGGAGATTGAAACTGTTCTTCATTCAAAGCTGCCTTTTGATGCTGAATGATAAAGTGAATATAGTCTCATTCAGGAGGAACAATGTGCACTGCTTGTATATGAACCTGGACAAATACTGAACAAGAATGGACTGGCTGACATATGACCGATTAGGCAGGCTCAAGGCTACTGCTTGTTTTACTGATGTCTGTCTGGAATGGAGTGTGAGCTGAGAAGGGAGGGGTTGGGAGAGGGTCCTGCACAATTAGTATTGTATTGTGTAAGAATTACTTCATTGAGCCATTCTTTGCAGTGTTTCCTGTCCCTTTGCTATAGTTTCATAGGCACGGGTTGTCTGATTGATTGCTCTGAGTATAATTTTCATCATCTTGTTTCACTGCGAGGTGGAGGGAGGGTGGGTATCCCATTCCCAACCGATCCTGTTTTGGATATACCTTTTCCTATCTTTTTTCTCTCCTCCCCTTTCTCTCACACACAACTTGTGTGCATGCACCTTAGGTGCACACACCTGACTTACTGACACTCTCCAGTACAAGTGTACATACAGTAGTAAGCCAGATAGTCACACTATAGGCACGGTTGCAGATATGAAAACTGTTGGTAACCTTGGAGGTTGGGAATCATCTCTGATACCACCCAGCTAAAATAAATTCCATCGCAGGATGCTCACTTCCAGATTCTAGCCCGTTTGCAGGTAGTCGAACATGCAGATTTTCAGCAGGTGGATCCAGAGCATTCTACTGTATTGTGCATTAGCCTGGACAAGGAGTGTTAGCAGTATGATGTGAAGTCAAAACCTGTCCTCGTCTGGTGCCCATTCATTTCAATCAAGTGAATCACACTGTGCAGTGGGAAGAATGGCTGGTTTTCTTGTTCGTCTACCTCACCCAGGAGAGCTAAATTCAGTGTTGCTCTGGCTGAGATAAGCTGACTCAGCTCCAATTGTGGGGATTTCTTGTCTGTATGATTTATAATGCTCAGTGCCTTTATCCTCAAAGCATCAGGAGTTCTGCGTTTGGTTTAGGAAAAATGTTTTCTGTTTTGTCACAAGTTGGGTGGTTCGTAATTGTTTGTGTAGGAAAAAGATGACCTATTATCATGGATTTTCTGAGAGCGATAGTTATACTGTTGCCTAAATTAGGATGTTAAATTAACATATCAGTTACCCAAGCAAATAGTATATTCTAGTAGCAATTCAATATAGTGGGAATTGATGTTCTTTATTTCCTGTTGAGATTAGTTACCACAATTAAGGCAATAAGGCAATTAATGATTCTAACTGCCTTATAGATTCACCAATTTCTTTTAAATTAATGTTTAATGATTCAGAAATTACAACCAGCAAATCCCACATCTAAGAGTTTATGTTTGTGCGCCACATGCCGAGGAACTTGTTCCTAGATTGTTTGTCCCTAGACTCATAAATTTCCTTGATGGTGTCTCTGTTTTATGTGTTGCAAGTGCATGGCTGTGGTCTGGAGCATGGTGGCAATACACTTGCATACTTTACGTAGAGCTGTATTGCTCAGAATACCACTCCTGGGGAGTCCTTGGTACCGACTATTTGTCTTGAAATCTCACACATGAGCTTGTTTACTGCCTGGTCACGAGCTTCTGATTGTTTTGATTGGCGAGTGGGTGGAAAAGAGAGGATCTCTTGGGGCTCCAGCTCCATGGTGAGATGCCTGGTGAAGAGTGGAATTGAGTCAATTCTCTGGTGGACTCAATGATTTGATACCTGCACTTAGATCCACAAAGCACTGTTGATAATAATCCTTACATTTGGGATAGTGCCTTTCACATCAGGAGGCATCTCAAGCACTTCACATTTTATACCGTAAACTGTAGTGACTGTGTATTTGTAGACTCTGTTGATTGCCCAGGCTGCCTGGCTCAAAGTTGGGATTGCAGAGATGAGACATGACACTAAGATTCTTACCGTCTGTCACTTGCTAATCCTGAATCTTGCTTTAAACCTATTCAGTTCTGCAGTACCCAATTTTTAATCTGTGGGATTTCTATGCTAACGTCAAACATTTCTCCACGTTATCTTTGTTTCTCTCTTGGTCACCATGTCGAAACCTCTATGCTTTAGTGTCTCTGGTTCCAGCTGCTTGAGCTTTCTGCCAACGTGTTCTTGTGTTCTCTGGGCAGAGGCAAACAGGACATGTTCCTCACCTTGAGGGAGAGAGTGGACATCCAGAACTGACGAACAGAAGCTCGCAGACCTTCTATGACTTCTTGGCAGTTGCAGCTTGAGTCTGTTAAGCACGACAAGCGGTTTCTGCACATGTTCAATCCCAGCTAACCAAAACTTAAAAGCCCTTTCAATTACGGATTACAGATTTTTGAAGGATAAACTACATTTCCTCTCTTGGGGCGCACATGTTTTAGTTCAGTTTTGTTTTGCAGTTCTGTCCAGACTCGTCTTAGTGTTAGCTTACACTTGCACACTTGAAACCTCCAGGCCAGAAGCTGGGTTTCATTGCACTGCAACATAGGAGCTCCCACTTTAGAGGCAGGTTGCAGAACAGTTCCTAAACAGAAATGAAGATAACGTGGAGAAATGGTTGACAGTAGCATGGAAATCCCACAGATTCAAATTCTGCTTTTCTTTCCCCATCTCAGCTTCTCCAGTGATCAGCTCCGTAAAGGTCAAAAATCTCCATTTGATTTAATTCATTAAAAAAGGCATACCTTTCTACAAATGCCACATTGCTTCAGTCAGAAAATGCAGCGTTCTGCTGTTACGCTATTGCGCAAAGGCTAATCGGCTGTATTCTCGTGTGGCTCATGAGACCTTGGTATTTTTATGATGTATTGTATTAAATGTTCATTTTCTGTCCAGTTTCCAGTTCAGTATTCTCCGCCTTAGATGAATGCTTTTGATAAACCTTTCAAGGCCGTTGCTACTGTGGTCCGATTCTTTCCGTAGTTTGTGATAGGCTCTCAATTTTAGTCAGAATCTGGCTGTTTACTTGAATAAGCAATTTGTACAATTTGTCCATCTTTTACTACTTCTGTGTAAAAAGACAGGGAACCAGTTTCTCTTCAACAAGCTTCTCCTGACCTCTCCTGACTCCTTTTTACTGGGTTCTCCTCCTGCTCCCGCACCATCACATACAATATTTCTCAGGGCTCTGTCATCCCTTCTCTCCTATTTAATATTTATACACTCCTGCTTGGTAATGTCAGCCGCAGGCATGGGGTTAACTTTCACACGTATGCGGAAGACACCTATCTCTCTGCTTCCACCCTCAACTCCAGGACCACTGATGCCCTGACTGATTGCCTGTCTGACATCGAGTCCTGTTGTGGATCTTTCCATGTTGACGTCAATCACTTCAAATGAATGAAGTGCCCAGTCAAGGTTGATCCCACCACATCAACAAGCTGGATTCCCACATGGCAACAGAGCAGAATAATTCTGTCAGGTTAGAAAGGTGGACCCTCTGGTACCACCATGTCCAAATGACCATTGTTCATGTGTGTCAGTAGATTAATCGACCACCGGGGCCATGGGGGTAGAGAATCACAACCGAATTAAAACCCCACTCTCAGCTATAACCCTCGCTGTATTCCCTATTTGCCCCTCTTTTCCCCCATAGCTGTTTGTTTTCCAGCCCAGGAAAACTATGACAGTTCTGTTCCCAGCTGAAACCAGACTGATTTATTGATCCTAGGTCCTTCTGGTTTGTATGGCTGATTCCACACTGGCCTGTGTCATTACCCAGTTGGAAGCTTAGAGAACAGTGATTTTCTTTAAAAAAACAGTAAATCTGTTTTCTGTTTAGTCACAGTTAATGTGGTTATTGATTGTCCGTGTGTAAAAAAAAGATGACCTGATTATCATGGATTTTATATCTACAGATGTGCTGATGTGTGTAGTAGGCAATTAAATTAACATAGTACCTGAGAGGCAAGCAATACGTTATTGTAGCTACTTACGATATAGTGGGAGTTGGCATTCGTGATCCTATTAAATTTACATCTCAATTAAGGCAGCAGTGTTTTAATTCTTGTATCTGCTTGGCAAGAAGGAAAGACCCTTTAAAGATTTAATTAGATAGCAAACGGGTTTAGATCAAATTTAGTGGCATTTGACTATTAAGATTGAATTATTTTATTGTAATCGCTGTCATCCATTTTTTTTCCTTCCCCTTTCCTCAACTCTTCTAAAGCCATGGAATCGTGTGAGGGTTTAGTTCCACAGGTTCCAGCCACTCTCTGGCAATGTACCAATGTATGCCTTAGTGAGTATTAGGCTATTCAACCATGGGGACGACACCATAACTGACCAGCATCCCATCCACGTGTGGACTTTCCAGAAGAGGTCACTTGGTACTAGCAGGAAGCAGGAGCTCTACCTACTGAAACTAACTGTAGCATTACCATCCTGTCTGAGATAAACTAACTTCGGGTTCATCCAAGACTTAACCGTTCCCCCATTTTAATGTTGCATAAACATTGTAACATGCCGTTTAAAAGAAAAAATCTAAGGCAGGTAAACATTTTGATGATCCACTGGATGGTGTTAAGGCAGATGTTCTCCCAACACAGGAGCCCTCTTGTGATGCTGTGGTTTGACCAAGAAATGCTCAATGATAGGCTCAGAAATGGGGGAGTGATCCTCCCAGCTTCCCAACCGAAGAGTTAATTTGGGAAAGAGCAAAGATTGAAGCGGGAAATGAAAGTGCAACTAACAATTGGTTTTAAATCTACTTCCCCATTTGGGAGTTGAAATATATGACATTTTCTTGCAGATTCAAAGTGCTAATTATCCTTGAACCTATTAAGAAACAAAGCATCTCTCACCCCTTGGAATTAATAAAAGCCTCCATTGGCTTTCAAGATTGAAGTTATTTTATTGTTATTTTAATAATTTGGTCACTCAATCCACGACTGTTTGTTGGACACTGCTGTGTGCAATTGGCTGCCGTGTTTCACCCACAAAACATACAGTCAACTCACTTTACAATATATTCTGTGAAGCACTTTGAGACGTCTCAATAACATGATAAGGTACTCTATGCAAGAATTTATTCTGCTCTATTGCCATGTGGGAATCCAGCTTGTTGTTGTGGTGGGATCAATCTTGAGCAGGCACTCCATTCATTTCAAGTGATTGACGCCCACATAGTAAGATCAAAGTCACAATTAGATCGCAAATGATTTCCAGAATTTAATCTGGAATGAATATTTTCTTAAAACATGCATGTGTGTATTTTTTAAAAAGACGTGAAATAAAGACCATTAATATACATGTTTTATAAGAAAAGTTTTGATTAGAAGCCTGTATCAGATCTGCTGTTTACAGGTAAGAAGTCCACAGCTGCACGTTGCAGCCTGATTCTGCAGCCTGATTCTGTCCTTGTACAAAACTCGCTCGCTCACTTTGTCACTCCAGCTCATTTGTCACTCCAGCTGACTTGAACACGGAGTGAAAAGAGGCAGAACCAGCAGGATTGTGAAATTGATCGCCAAAATTTGACGTTAATTCTTCATGAAGCTGTTTTTGTTTTGATGTAATTAGGGAATCGATTACTGAACCACACTAAAAACTAGAATCCGAGTCTACTAAGTTAAGTGGGTAGATTAACCCACCAAGTGCCACCGTCAAGCCTGGCACATTGCCCTAGATATGAATTTGCATTTGCGTATCCCACTCCAGAGTTTCCACTTCAAATTAGGGCAACTTCCTACTGGGCAAACCTAGTGATTGCAGTGTTCCTTAATGAAAAAATATAGTGAAGACAAATTTGAACATTAAAAGAAATTTAAATGTTTTATTTTCTGCTAAGTTCTGTTCTTAATACTTCAACAAATAAAGGTTAATATCATCTTAATACAAATATTCTTGATGTTTGAATAGCTTTATAACTGCAATGTTGGAAATGTGGGGGGGATGGGGGGAGGGAGGCATTTCCAGTATCTAAATGCTTGTTGAACAAAATGTGAGTGAGTCACCCACATGTCTACTAAGGGTATTGGGGTATAGGGAAAAGGCGGGCAAGTGGTATTGAGTTACAGATCAGAAATGATTTAAGAGAATGGTGGAGCAGGCTCGAGGGGCTGATTCCTAAGTCACATACTGGAGTCTGTATAAGTGTTGGGTTAAATCAAAATATAAGCCTGGTTCAGTGTTTCACGAAATTCCACACAAAATGTTTGGGTTGATTTTGATCTTGGATACTCTCCACTGGTTTGGTGAGTTTGTCAGCAAGTGCACACTTTTTTTCCATTTCGGGGAAGGTGTCCTTATTTTCCCTCTTGCAGCTTATCTGCTTTGTTGAATTCTCATTTGTTGCCCAATGGTGCAGGCAATCTCCCCAAATGTACAGAGAAGGGTTTGACTGTGGTGAGTGCTCCCGATGCAGATCCCATTAAAGCTATTTGGCCGTGGTGCATACTGTACTAATAAAGCAAACTTGGTTAAAGCGAACATTTTTTTCTGAATATTTGTGCTAATCAAGGTACAAAAGTAGCCTTGAACTATTTCTTTATTCCCTTCCCTCCCAAAAAACCACATTGGAAAGGACGATGTGGAAAAGACAATGGCAGAATCTGACTTGTGGTCTACATCGATTCCCAAAGTTTTAAATACAGGGTGACCAAAAAGTCATGATAACTAACCTGTTATCTAAAACAAACCAAAAATAGCATTTCTTTAAGACGTGTTGTAATGTATTACGAATTCTTGGTCACCCTGTAGTTACACAGAATGATATGGCATGAAACCAGGCCATTCAGTGTGACTGGTCCATGTCACACTGAATGGCCTGGTTTCATGCCATATCATGTTGTATTTCACAAGAGCCGTCAACTCTCCTATTCCCTTCATCTATTCCTCTATTGTCTTATCTTTCACATGTGCAAGTTTTTGCTTAAATACATTGCTGTTTGCTTCAACCACAGCTTTGAATTTAATATGAATGATATGCATTGATGGATGTGCAGCAGACAGAACCACCTCCACCACCATTCTCAATGCACCAGCTACCAGGCAGTCAAGGCTGTGAGGGAGAGACCATTGTGCAGTGTCGGCTTTGAGAATGTGGGGCTGGATGTGGTGGGCTTTAAATGGTTGATTTATATGTGATTCTTTAGGAATCTCTTAATTTGGACCAAAAGTTAGATTATAGTGTGAAGAACGGCTCAAATGACGCATTTTTCTAACTCGTGCTGCACCTTAAATTATTGAGGGATTTATCATCTTTCTTTATAGTGGTGACACAAGTAAATTACCTCTTGCCTTATGCTTCCACAAAGACAATATTGTTGGCATTTTGCAGAGCAGAATGTCGAGGAGGTAATTTGAGAAACGCATGAGCTATCGTTCATGTGACAGTGTTTTCATTGTTTTCTGAAATGATTTTTAGAAATCCTGGATAGAGTTCGTAATTGGAAAATATTTTTAGATAAATTATGCATTAGCGAGAAAGCTGTGGAGTGCAGAATACCTTCCCGAAGCGTACAAACATTGTCTCTGTGCTGAAGAATCATGCATCTGCATTCACAGAAATCTTAACCGCTCATACTAAATCTTTTATTTCTTTTGATTATCATGTGGTATCTTGATGACTTTCACTCCTTTTGTATTACATTTTGAATAGGCTGCCAGGCCTGTGGTAAAATGTTGTGCCATTATTAATAGATGTGAAAATATGAAATTTATTGATACTGACACAATGTCCATGTTTCCCAGGGTCAACATCCCTCACCTTGAGCATCAAAAAGCTTGGTCTCCAGCACGGACATTTTCCTTGTGTTACTGTCAATTTACAATGTTTCAACAACACTGGGTGTGTGGGGATATAGCTGTAACCTTAACAACTGAGCCATTGTGTGAGCTCTGCTATATTGCTTATAAAATGTAACCATTGTGCTCATGGTGCTGCTGAGTATTAAGTAATTTGATTCAAAAAGTGGATGTTGATGAGTTGATTCCGTTTGGTGTGTCCAAAATGAGAGGGCATAAATATAAGATAGCTAGAGTTAGATCTAATAGGGAGTTTAGGAGAAACCTTTCACCAGATGGTGGTGAGAATATGGAACTCACTACTGGAAGCTGTTGTTAAGCCAAAAGCATCAATGTATTGGAGAGAGAAGTTGATGTATACATGAGAGAGAAGGGAACAGGTGGGTATAGGAGTATAATTAGTGGATGGATTAGTTGTGCCAAATGACCACATGGATTAGTTGTGCCGAATGACCTGTTTCTGTGCTGTATCACACTATGCAATATTATCTAATTATCTGATTAAAGTGGTTGCAACTTGAAAAGCGCTATATCAAATGCAAGGATTATTATTATTATAGGCTCGATCACTTGAAGTGATGTATTCTGGAGAGTATAGATTATGATTGTGTTGACTTTGCCTTCATCAGGACATCCAGGCGGAGATTGATGCTCATAATGACATCTTCAAGAGCATTGACGGCAACAAACAGAAGATGGTGAAGGTTTTAGGAAGCTCGGAGGAAGCTGCCCTGCTTCAGCACCGACTTGATGACATGAACCAGCGCTGGAGTGAGCTGAAGGCCAAGTCTGTGAATATTAGGTCAGTTTAATGTGCTTCCGCAGGATGTTTTAGCGATGCATTGTAGATCTTTAAGCGAAGCACAGCTCGCTGTTATTATTGAAATGGAATGGCGTCTGCTGGATTATTTACAACCTAAGATAGATGGTAAGAACTGTATGAGCTGGAAAGAGCAGGTGGGACAAGAAATAAAATAGGAGAAAGGGTTTGCCAGTTCCTGTGGGACATGGCCGTAGTATTACCCCAGTTAATGTATAAAACCACTGTTAAGGTGCCCCCCCCCCATGAGCAGTGTGTTGGTGTACCCATTGTTGCTGTGCCACCCACTAGGAGGATATTTCTCACTGCACCCATGCTTATCTGGGGGTACTGTGCATGGAACATCAGTTGAAGTAGGCGAAGGGGGAAGGAGGTCTCTTCTGGGCTGTTCTGCTCATTCCTGTGGCTCTTGATTAAAAAGCAGTTGAGGTAGTGATCTGGCTGGCTTTTCTGCAGTTGCGGAATGTAACTCAGCAAGAGCAACTAATAATATAATTTGATGTAGTGCCTTATCACGTCATCTCAAAACGCTTCACAGGATATACTGTAAAGTAAATTTACTGCATTTTGTAGGCTGAAATGCGGAAGCCAGTTGTGCACAGCAGTGTCTCACAGACAGCCATGGAGTGAGTGACCAATTTTATTTGGGAATTGTTGGTCAGGACACTGGGAGAGAGACTCCATTCTCATTCAACTAGTGCCATGGGATCTTTAACATTCACCTGAACAGGCAGACTGGACCTCGGTTTAATATCTCATCCAAAGGATGCAAAAATTAAATGGGAATCAGTTACTCTGGAAAGGTCGTGTCTGTAAATGCGTTTTATCTCATTTGAGTGCCTTTTTAGAACCCATTGTATTGCTGAGCAAATGATAATTCAGAGATTTTTTCAATGGTGGATCCTACTGTAAGAAGACCCATCAACCTAACATGGTTGCAGTAATCATTTCTTTCCTGCCCCCCCCACCCCTATATATAATCTATTATTCTCATTAACATGCCTCTGATTTTTTTTTGCTGTAGCTGGGAAATTTATAGATGCTTGTAACGCGAATAGCTTCATTCAGAATTGGTTTACATTAATTGCCCACTTAAAAACTTTCATTGTCATTGCATTATCATAATGGTGTACGTGCACCCTTTGGGGCTAGTATAATTTGTTTTATTGATGCTGCCTCAGTATTAGTATATATATATACATATATATACACACACTCTTTTAAGTACAGCCAATTCTTGTGCATTGATGGGTTCTGCTCAGTGAAATAACAATGCATCTTGCCTAGTATCTGCAAATTGAGTATACACCTGATTAGTGTGAAATGTATGGCATTGGGATATATGTCAAATTCAGCTTTACGAGATGTCACAGCAGTGATGTGGTTTGCAGCTTAATTGATACCAGCTCCAGTCCCTGTCAAGATTAAATATTCAAACTCAGACCCATGTAGAGCATTTGCTCATTAAAATATATATTTTAAAATGTGCACGTTTTGCTGCAGATGTTTATTTTTCAAGCATCTACTTGCACTCAAACTTTATGTGCAGCAGAAATGACCTCCCTTGCCAAACAAATATGTTGCTGTCAGTTGCATTAGCTGCCTGATATTACAACATTTATGTTGTTATCTATCTGCTTGTACCCGTGAAGGGAAAAAGTATTGAAAAGGAATTAAAAATGTGTGGACAAAGGTACTCAGGATAACAGAAGCTTTAACTTTTGAAACAAATCTTTGGGAGTGTTTTTTTTCCTTGCTTCCACTTTTCTCTCCAATTGATGGCACTGATTCATGCTGGGGTCTGTCCATATTTGTACAATTCACTCTACCATTCTGTACCTTGGGGAAGATAAGCCACTGGGTTTCAGCAGTTTGAGACCATATGAGAAAGCGGCATCAAACCTAAGTCGGTCCTGTCTCTGCTTATATACAGGAATTTACCAGCCAGAATAACTGGATATTGATCGGGAGCAGAACCCCCATCTGAATATTACTTTACCCCCTCCTCTTATTATTCTGCAAAAAAATTATTTTAACATCTCTGCTGACTCCGTACAGACCAAGATTCGTGCCTGGGATTTTTTGTTCTGTACGGTTCTGTATAACTGGGAAGTGAATTCCTTCAAAAGAATAACACTAATAATTGGTCACTCAATCCATGACTGTTTGGATGCTGCGTTTCACCCACAAAATATCCAGTCAAATCCCTTTATAGTATATTCTGTGAAGTGCTTTGAGACAACTCGAAGATGTGAAAAGGCGCTATATCAAATGAGCCAGTGGAGGGGGTGGCTACCAGGATCCTACTTGTAATTTCTTTCATAAATCACATTTCACTGGCCTCTATTTCTCAGCAGCTGGAATGAAGTAAGAACGATTCAATTGGTTTACAATGAGAATATTTGACGCCGCACGTTTCCTGGTTTGTTGCAGGAGCCATTTGGAGGCGAGTGCAGAACGATGGAACAGGTTACTGGCATCCCTTGAAGAACTGAGCAAGTGGCTAAATCTGAAAGATGAGACGCTGGCAAAGCAGATGCCTATTGGGGAAGATGTTCAGGCTCTCCTGCAGCAGCACGACCACTGCCGGGTAAGCCGAACAGCACTCAACATTTCTATAAAGAGACTTTACAGGAGTGGGCAGTACATTGCAATCAGTGACAGAAACTCTTTTCTTCTTTCTCTACCATTCCTCCCCCTTTGCAAACAACAGCAACAAATAATTGCATTTATATAGCAGCTTTCACATCAGGATGACGTACCAAGGCACTGATCAGTCGTGGGTTTGCACCCAAACCGGGGGTTTGAATCGAGAGGGGGCTGGGGTTGGAAGGCTGACTGAAGGTACAGTCAAAGAGGAAGGTGTTGAGATGGGCCTTGAAGGAAGCAAAGGAGGAGGCAAGGCGTAGGTGCTCTGGGATGGAGTTCCACTTTATCTCTTTTTAAGTTTCCATAAATTCACTGATGGATATTCAGCCCCAGTACATTATGCATTGACAAGCAGTTAAAACAGACAATAAGGTGGTTCATACCATTTCCACAATTGTTAATGGGAGAAGTGGAACTTCTGCCTAAGTGGATTATTCACAGACATTCTTATTTTTCTGGATTCTGTTCATCTTTTTTTCATCTGACTGTTCCCTGGAACAATCCTATAAGAACTTTGGCAAATTTTATTTTTATTTTTTGGAAGATGAAATCAACAGTCTGCTACATTCCCTTCATATGGTAATCGAATCACTTGCTAAAAATTACAGGCGAAATGGAGAAGCTGCCAAGAGCATGATAGCACTCCATTGCTCCAACCACACCATTGCTCCCCTGCATACACACACACACACACACACACACACGATCACTTGAAGAAATCATGAGCATATATTTTTATCTGACAACGGCCGAAACTACACACAGTCTAAGTTGAAAACCTCCCCTTTTTCTTTTGTTAGCTGAGGAGTTAATGATGCACTGGTCCTGGGACCAATGGTCCTTTGGTTCTGTGATGTGCTGTAAACCTTACTTCCTCTTAGATACATCAATTATAGAGTCCTTGCTAATCTCTCAAATATGTTGGTATAATATTGTCTGTATTGTTTGACAAGATGTCCACATGTATGGCCATTCTCCTGTACTCCTGTTTGTGGAGTCCTGTGGCTCAGTGGTTAGAGCACTCGCTTTGCAAGCGAGAGACCTGAGTTCAATTCCAGGCAGGGCGAAACCTTGGGCAAGTTTCCTTACTCCACACGCCTAATAATAATCCCTCCAAAAACCAAAAACAATAATAAATTGGTCATTTTCAATCTACGACTGTTTGTGGGACATTGCTGTGCGCAATTGGCTGCCGCGTTCGCCCACAAATATACAGTCAATTCACTTTACAGTGTGTTCTGTGAAGCGCTTTGGGACGTCCTCCTGACGTGAAAAGCGCTATATCAAATGCAAGGATTATTATTATTATTATTATTACTCTTTCGTGTGTGTTTTACCAAAATAAACCCAAGTATAAATTTGCCCGGCTTGTTCAATCAAAAAGTCCAGTTTAACAATTGCATGATCCTGACTAATGGTAAATTAGAGTAGTTCAAGGAATGCTTTGGAAATACTTACTAATGGTGAAATTATTGATTTAAAAGGGTTTATTCTTCCTCCATTAAATCAGTTTTCCATTCCCTTCTCAAATCATCACCCTTGTGTGTGTTTGTAGCAGTGAATTTGTAAAAAAAAATGTTTTTGTATGTGATTCTGCTTTTTCTCCCCTTTCTATTTTCCTTTGTATTTTGCAATTATGTCTCTAACTCGTTGCTCAGGTCAGTGAAATCCAATTATATTATGAGGTTTTCGCCTTCCCATTCTCTAAAATTAGCTGATACTCCAAATGCCAGCATCTAAGTGGTGCACTAGGAGGTTAGGTTCACTACCCTGATTCCACGTTTAATGTGCTCAGTCCTAAACTAGCTCCACGGACTTGCAGTCTCCTTTTCCAAGTGCCCTTTTTCACTTTGTCTCGAGAAGTTGCTCACCATCCCCAGAGCCCCTTAATCTGTTCATACACTTCCAAAATGGTTTTCATTGCTTTATCCCAGAAGGTCTACAGTGGATCCCAATTATTATCTCTTGACTGTTTTACAGTCCATTTTCCATCTGAATTCCCTCTGAGGATATGTCTGTCCTTTCCATAGATCCTCCCTCCCTGAACCTCTCTCGCTTTGTCTCATCATTGCTTAACCTTGTGCTGTCCTTGATAAACATTATGAATCTTGTTACATGAAACCCACATTTATCCTCAGAGTTTTAACCGACTGTCAATTACAGCTTTTTTTTATTTTTTGCTGTGTTTTCCCACCCTCTTTTCCTAATGTCCCTTGTAATTAAAATCGCCTTTCTACTTCTCTCCCTGCCCCAAAAACTTCTTAAAGATTGTATCTCTTTGTCCATGTCTTTGGCAACACTTAAATTCTCCCACTTCATACTCCTTAATGTTCTGTGAAGCACTCTCAGATGTTCGACCTACATAAAGTTTAATAAGTTGTTACAGAAAAACATTCTCTGTTTTGAATACTCTATTGTAAAAAGTTCTGATTCCAGTTTTATATTTCTTTCTGTTACTCTCTTCCCTTATTTGGGTTTTGGAGTACTCTGATTGACTTTGTCTTTCAATCAGCATGTGATTCTACTGTAGATGTGTTACATGGGAGATGCAAGGAAATTGGGTTGCTTCTGCCTCGAAATGTTGATGGGAAAAGTTCAAGGCTAGTTAGAAAAGAACAGGGTTTGGTGACGTGATAAAATGAGCAGAAATATGAGGACCGCATGCCATCCTTTTGTATAGGCACAGGGAAGAATGGAGCCTGCTGTTCACTACTATTCGGACCAGAAAAGGCACCTATGCTCAACACAGCTTAACTTTCAAATTCTTCCAACACTGCACTCTTAAACACTTGAGACCTGTTCTGCAGCTTGGCATATCATCATTTTCTCATATCTCCTAAACTCACTCACTCATTCCTCTTCAGCTCTTCTGAATGTCTCTTACAGTCATTAAAAAAAGGGCACACTCTGTCCCTATTCTTTCGCAGCAGCTCCAAACCAGCTATGCAATCTTTACCTCCCTTCCAATTCATCAGTGCAAGACGACTTGTTTCAGCTGTAACACAGTGACAGAGTACATTGATGTACGAACATGTTGTGCTCCAAGATAGTAAGATGGAAATTTGTGTCCCTTGATTCCACAACCAGTGGTTTCTTAATCTCTTGGCTGTCAGTGAGGGACAAATCAAAGGATATCTTACTTGCGGACTGTTGTGCATGTCCTGATGGTTGGCTTAAGTGCAACACCACTCGAGGGGTTTGGGTTGTGTTCATGCTGAATGTCTGTCACTGTGTTCATTTTCCACATACAATTCTGCAACCTCCCGGACCACCAACACTAGGACTGTTCACCACTCGCCTACTGAGTTATCCCCGTCATCTCTTCCTGAACCTTTCTTACTGCCCTGCTGTAGTACTCTGCCTCCTGCCCAGTTGCATTCTTCTTTGAAATCAGCTATCTTACTTTACTGTATAGTACTAATTCCTTCTCTTACTCTTCATCCTCTCTCGTGCGCTCGCTCACTTGTCCTCATCCTCTTTCGCTCTCTCGAGTAAGGACAGTTGCATTCGGTTATACATCTTCCACTCTTCCCCCCACACCATAGCTGCCCAGGTGCTTGGTATTCGTGCTCTCAGCTCACTTATGTGAAGAATACCCACATAGGCATGGCCATGACACAGACAACAGGAGGGGAGGTGGAGAGAACATAGGCCAAAATGTCGTGCATCTTATCAAAGATCTGTGTTTTTCTAAGATATTTTCCTTCAACTCAATTACCTTTGATGACTAAGTGGGTCATGAAGTTTGTATCTGTTTAAAAATAAAAAATATCATTTAGTGCCCGCTTCTGATATGATGCAGAAGATCATCATGCAGGAGGATGTTGATCCTTTTAAAATCAGAACCCATCAGTTGATAAAACTTCACAAAAGTGATAACATCAGTGGAAAAGATGAGTGGAAATACCAAGAGTGCCTTTCTGCAAGCCTTGGCTGGCTTCTGCCTTGTTTGTCTGCCTGATTGTTTTGACGTTTTTTTTTGCTTTTAGCAGATTTTAAGCTATCTTGTGTGTGAGTAGATGATGCGCAGCGTAGTATACCGTTAGGGAACATATTTCATCTCTCCAACTAACAGGTTGGATTGTGAGCACGCAGAAGCATTAGGTTTCCTTGCTGTTCCGCGCCAGGCTGTCTGTCTGTGTCATGTTCATCCAGAAGTCTCTTTACTCTGGGGCTCTCTGTATCAAAGCTTTCTGGCTGGAACGATTGTTTCTTCATTGATTCAAAAGAGTATGAAGGTGATTGAACTTCTGCTATGTTCATATGGTTTTATACGTCCCGCTTCACTTTGGATTGGGGCTGTTTTTAAAACAAAAACTAAATCCTGGTTGTTTTTATTTAATGTTGAAGGGCTATGGGTGAGATGGTCTCTTTTAATAACTTTAAATTGCTCCCTTAATGGATCAACAAAAATAGGGATCATTGCCCAGAACTGTTTGATTTGCACCTCGTATAATTACACCTCAAGGGCAAGTTGAACTATTCCTCCAATTGGTGGGACCTGGGCTCCAGCCTGGTTCATGCTGGCTCAGCTCTGATCTGTGTTCAGTCCTTCATGTTCAAGCATGGCCAAATTCTTGGGAATTCACTACCACTACAGAGGGTTTGAAATGCAATGCAAAATTCCTGCACTTCAATCTGTCTCGCACCTTGAAAAAATGCTTTGTTGTGTATCGGGTGGGGGGGCAGCCCTGATGGTGGTGTGAGCTGAGCTTATGGAACTGAGCTAACATAAAGAGGCAGGAGGCTGGCAACCAAGAGCAGAGAGCATATAACACTCGGGAGCAAATTAGAGAAAAAAAATTGGGATGCCCTATATTTATTTATATATGTATATAAAAGAAAATTGGCACATCACAGAACTAAACCTATCTTGTGTTCGCACAGCTAAGAAGTACAAAACAGTGTCTTTATTATAACTTTAAGGCAAGTTCAAAAGCA